ACAAGGAAGAATGCTGCGAGAGGGATGCACCGAAGAAAAACACGAGGACAAGTGAAAATAGTGCGGAAAGAGAGAGAGAGAGGAAAAAAGAGAGAAAGAGGGACGTATGATAATAGTAAAAAACTGGAAGAGAGTTTTAAGAACAGGGAAATATGTCTTGACCTAGATATGTATATTTAAATCCTACTATTAAAATCGTGAAATAAGAAGTAATACATTAATAATAAAACTATCTCTTTTTTATAGTAAACATGCTTATAAAATTGTTTAAATTGTTATTAATAAACAGTCTATCTTTAATTTTACTATCGAGAGTATACGTTTAATTGTCAAAAACAATTTCTTTTCAAAATCTATTTAGACACTCCAACTTTGTATTAACACAAGAATTGTGCACAAATATAGCTGCCACGATTGACGCGAGAATATTTTCCGATTTCGCGAAAATTTACAAGGACAACTTTCATCCAACTATTAACCGAACTTCCGTCGAAACTTTCACCAAACAGGGATGGTGCTTTAATAATCGCAAGAAGTTATCCGAAGAATTAAACTTCGGGTCTGATCGGCGCATGTCTCCTGTCGTCATCAACAGCGACGAGCAAACAAGCACTGCGACGACGGCGAGAGAAAGGGAGAAAGCGTTGGCATGGGGTGTTGGGGGGTAGCGCGCTGAGGGGGTTGGTTGCACACGCGTCGAAGCGGGTGGACCCGGTGGATTGAAAGGGGTAACAGGAGAGACGAAAAGGGCGAAATGCGATAAACGGCGAGACAAGGACGCAAGAGGGAAATGCACGAGCGAAAAAGAGGAGGAGGAGGAGGGGGAGGAGGGTGGTATAAGCGAACGCGAAGAGGGAATAAGTGGGAGGGGGCGAGCCGGGGTAGTAGACAGAGATGGAGAGTGGTGTACGGTAAAGCAAGATGCATAAAGGGAGGATTCGGGGTGGCGCGGACGGGTGGTGAGAATAGCAAGAGCGAGAGGGAGAGAGAAGTGGGAACCCGAGACAGAGAGAGAGAAAATCTCTGGCAACGGGTCGATCGAAAGCGCAGCGCAGAGAAATGCACCACCTCTGTGCTCTGGTCTGGCAGCTTTGCGGGCGCACCACCGCGTCCGCGTGCGTCAGAAAGAGAGAAAGAGAGCGCGAGCACGGGAGAGGGAGAGATGGCGAAAGAGGGAGAGAGAAAGGGACCGACGGAAGCGGAAGGGAGAACGACATATATCCGCCGACCAATACCAACGCAGAGGGAGGAGGAGGACGAGAGGAGAACCAAGCCGAGTCGCGTTGGGCTAGGTCAGGTCTACCCGAGTTTCACACACACCGCGCTCTCTTGCGTATGCCATCCCGCCGAAGAGAACCACACGAAGGCGGAGGCGCAACCCCTTCGTGAAAAAGAGGGTCGTCGCGAGTTTCCGGTTCTCGCGAGTGACTTCTCGAAAGTGGTTCTGCGATTTTTTTCCGAAAAACCCGAGCGCATCGCATTCGCCAATTACGCGATCCGATAACACTAGCGAGAGATCGACGCTGATCGGCACCGGAGATTGTGATTGTTCGGGAAAGCCGGTGACAGTGCGCGTCGTCGAATGACGCTTTTTAAGAAAGATGATACTGATGGAATTGTGCCGACTGACAGTGATTAATCGCGAGTGACGTGCGTCGTTTGGATCTTAAGTTAGAAGCTCTCGATTCGTGATCTCAATCGTGAAGGGGCAAAGGGGGAAGTGAAAGAAGAAAACTGAGAGAAGTCGTTTCGCGAAGGAGATTCTGGTTGCCGATTCGTTCGGTGGTGGCGAGAATCGGAGTTGTTGACAAACAACGAGCGCGACGACAATTCGAGCTGGCGAATGTCAGCCGATCGACGAGAATCGATCGCAATTCCCTTTTCTCAATGTCCTGATAATCGATAAGCGTCGTCGTCGTCGTCGTCGTCGTCGTGTAGGTGGCCGCGTAGAAACCGCCTAGGCCACGAGTGTTGGGGGCAGCGATCGGCCTTACCGACACGATTTACAATTCCTCGCCCTACGTGCGATCTCCGGGCGCGATCAGATCGGACGAGATAAATGTTGAGGGTAAACGGCGCCCTGCGTCGCTCGCAAGTGCGAGACCAGAAGGATCGGATCCTGAGTGCGATCGGGGCCGGCGAGATGCCGGTCTCCCTGAGGAACCACAGGATCACGTAAAGAGTGGCCTGCCGGCCCGCAACGGTTTTGCAAAACTTTCGCACCGCGCACGCACGGTCGCGCAACAGCAAAAGGAATCGCGACAGAAGTATCCTCGAAGTGATACAGGAGTGGTGAACCTATCCGCTATCTCTTGTATTCGAGGAACAACATAGTCGCAAAATTTGACCACATCCGATGCACCAAAAGTCGTGAGTACCGTAGCCGGCTCGCGACCAAGATGTTACGCGGTGATGTTTGTAACGAAGAAAGAAAAGAAAATACGATTTTTCAAATTAGAATATTACTGTATAAAGTTGAAAGTGTAGTCTCTTTTCAGAATCCAATATGGTGAAAAATACAGGGTTTCGCGATGTTGTTATTCCACAACGAGGGGGTAGTGGAAAACTGATCTTTCAAATATTTTTTTATGATTGAACGAGTACAGTGACGAGCACGTCATAAATAGATATTCAGGGTTCAAGTTGATTCAATGAAATATAGAAAGAGAGAGAGAGAGAAATGAGCAAAATTTACATCATTTTCGTTGAAACAATATATATGTTGCAACGCGTAACACGACCTACCAAAACATCGCATTCGTCCTTTCGCTGGGGATCGATCCCGTCGCGGCTTTCTGTATTTCTGTGTGCAAGGATTTTTTGCGTAAAATGCACGTTCGACGCACTGCATGGCATTCGAACATTTTTTGCAGCAGACATTTTCAAATTTTGTTTGTTTTTTTTTTTATACATATATTTCAATGGAAAAAAGGAACTTTTTTGAAAGAGATAAAGAACTTTGTTAATCATTAAAATATCAATTTAAGTAAGAAATTTAATTTAAAATAACATTTTAGAATAATATCAATTATAAATGTCATTATGTGAAATTAATTTCATTAAAGTCAAATACTTGCGAATTGATAAAAAAAAAATAATTGTCACATAAAATATGAATAACTGAGAAAATTGTACCTCTAAAAAATATGAATTAAATAGAGACTATGTGTTTCTTTATGTGAAACCATACATATCTCTTTCTTTTTAACAATGAATTTTTCAAGAAAACGATTGCAAAAAAGCCGATTGAATTAACGAAAAAGAATTAACGAGAAATCATACAAAGATAATAAAACGTATAAAGGTTTTAAAAGGCGTTTCTAGTAGAAGTGCATATGAAAAATTTATGGTTGCAATCTCATTGATATTTTGTAGAAATGGAACTGTTTCTAAAATTTATAAAAGTCACATATACGTGAAAAATTGGACCAATTATGTTTCAACAAGAAAATTAATCTCGGAGTTGCAACATTTTTATCAAAAACTCTGTTTTTCCGAATTTGAAAACGCAATAAAGCGCTTTTGGCCGGAAAATCGCGTCGAAAGCAGACACGAGCGAGCGGTTTGTGATGTCGACGGTGCACGATTTTCATGGAAATCGAAATCCACCGGGTAGCGAAAACCCCCGACGGGTGGTGGCAGGCGGGGAGGTGGACTTCGGAGTTTATGCCCCTGCCTCCCACCACCTCCTCTTTCCTCCCTCCCTCTCATCCCCTGCAGTCGATCAATGCGTGGACGGGTTTCACTTTCGCGGTGTTAAAGTGTTGCACCACCGCAAATTGAAGAGCGGCACCAGCGACACAATCGAATCGCGACTCGTTCAATTCGATTCGCCATTTTCCGCGTAGATTCCGATTATGATTTTGTGACTGAACATGCACAGGAAATTATTGATAATAATGAAGCTTGATGTTTCAATAACAGTTTGCAGTACTCTGTACATACACGGAATGGATTTTCGACGGATATTGAATCCACGCAATCACACTGTAAATTACATTGAGAACTGCTGAAAACGGAAGCGATCCCGGCGAAGCTAAAAGCGTCGCGAAAAATCGAATCGTACGATCAAACCGCTATTTGATTACCGATCCTTTGAGCTATTTCGACGTATATCTGCTATTTATTTTCATATTTATCGATCCGCTCGCTTCCGAAGCTTCGATTCAGGTTCATTGCAAATTTATCATTTCCTGAACTGGAAGTCCGACGAATAACGTCGGGCAAGAAATAGAATTGCGCGACACCGAGGCTCTTAATTATTCCTACGAGAACGATAGTGCCGATTACACAAGAGTTTTTAATGATGACGCCTGGTTTAATCGCGCTCGTTCTCGCTCGATAATAAAAATAAAAAAAGAAACGTAGTCCTATAAAAAAACAGCACGAGTAAAAAATAGTATCAATGACGAGACTTCGATTGTATATTTATTCAAGCGCAGCTAGTCGTTCGGAACACACAAGCTCGGTTATCAATCTGCCTTACCGAAGATCGTTAGCAAGAATCAAATAGCAAACGGAGACGTAACGCGCATATGTATGTGACATCAATGTATACGACGGGTTGAATAATATCTCGCCGAAAGCGTAAAAATTTCTAATGTATAATCCGCTTAAAAAGACACCCAATCTGTCGTTCGATTGTACGCGGGTTCCCGGTCACAAAGATAAATGATTTCCTATTACAGAATTGAGAAAGGAAAATATTTTTAAGTTAATATCGAAAACGTAGCTTTCGCGTCAATTGAACACGTGACAGAGTCCTATTTAAAGAAACATTTCACACGTTAAAACTTAGAATTAAAACATTTCGTTACAAAGTGTTTAAAAATTGCGCGAAATCAAATATAAGATTTCATTCTCACAAGAAACAAAATGCGTTTGTCAAAATAATGTTAATATTCAAATTACGCGTTATTTTATATTGCAAAAAAATATTCTCGCGCGGACTTTCCGATAATGAGTGAAATTAATGTTTTCGTTGGTTTCTGTTTTTACAGAGAAGGATGGAGGCCAGCGAGTGGGATCACGCGACCTTGAGGGAGGAAGAATTCGAGCAACATGCCGTATATTTGGTACCGGATGTGGCGGCATCGCCAGGCGATACCAATCGTGCGGAGGCGTCCTTGCCGCGGAACCTGGTCCTCAAGCCCTCTCAGGCCCTCAACGATGTACGTTCTTCTGCAAAAGAATCCTATCTCGAGACCTCTTCGGTGAGAGCTGCATGTGCAAGTCGTCTTGAGTTATTAATTTCTCTAAGACATTATCTAAGCACACATAAAAGTCGCGCAAAAAGTCACCCGTTGATAAAGAAAAAGATCGCAATATTGCTTTTTAAATAAAAAGTGCAATCGAAAAAACTTGACGATATAAAGAGCTACTATAAGAGACAAATTGTAATTTGCAATAAGAATTGACGAAAGAAATATCTAAGAGACCGTGGCGAAGAGCAAATAAGAGAAGGCGTTGGCCGGACGAAATCAAACTTGACCGAGTGACGAGGCTAATTAACTTACGAGACGTGACCTAGAGGCGAATCGTCGAATCGTTACACTTTCCTCAGCGCGTCGAGGAATCGAGAACGTTCGGTACGGGACTGTTGCTCGAGAAGCTTCTTTGGCGAAATGTTCGAATCGTGGGAGTCAAAGAGCGCGTATCGCAACGATGTAATGTATCGAGAACGAGAAGCGCGCAACGAGCTAATCGACGTCCGTCCGTTCGTCGAGTTTGCGTTTATCAAAAGAAAAACAAAAGCATCGAAAACACGCGCCGATCTAAAAGCACCGAAGAGTTAAATTAGTTTTGCCCAAACGGACGTTTCTGTGCACCAATAGGCGGATTTTCTATTCTAACGTGAGCCGAAGTGAAAATAGGTTTTTATCTTCTGCCGCGCGTTTTTTAACACAACGCCGGAATATAGATAGAAAAACGAACGGCGAGGAATATCGAACGGAATAAAACAATGCGACTTTGCCAATCACTCGTCATTTATGCACGTTTTGGTAGCTTTTGCGATCTTTCCGAATGCAGCTTGAAAGATATTTATCAGTCGCGAATCAATTTCCTCGACGATCTTCGAAAAACATGAAAACTATTTTATAAAGTTTCTTTTGTGATTCACGCTCACTTTTTAATTTGCGCTCACTTTTTCATATAGAAGATTGTCTTATCTTTGATCTGATATTTTGTAGATTGTTGAATCTATTTCTTGATTTCAAAATTTTTGTGTAGATAGTGTGAATATCTATGAAATTATGTAAATTTGAAATAAACATATGTAAATATTTTTAAACTAGTACTCAAAAATTGTCAACGAAAATTTAAGCTCCAAAAAGTGCATTAAGTTCTGAATTGCAGTCGACCTGGTTAATCGGAAATTGCATATGTTGGCAGGTGTTGGGTGTGTGGAGTACCAGTTACATCCCCAAAGGGACACGTTTCGGGCCTCTGGTCGGTCAGGTGTACACGAAGGATTCGGTACCGGCAGATGCGAACCGGAAGTACTTCTGGCGGGTAAGGCTACTTATCTATGTCCGTTCTTCGAACCGTGGGGTATTCGCAATTACACAGCGCGAGTAACTTTCCACCGAGGCACTGGTTAACATAGATAGACTCGATGCGACGCCGGCGGAAAAAAAAGTAAAGAAAGAAGAGACGCGGAAAAGAAAAGCTAGAGGATGGAAGGAGAAGCCAGCGAAGACCAGAAACTGGTTTCAACCGATCTAGCGAGCCTTAAAGCGAAACCCGCGAGAAGCCATTGATGCCTCGTAACTTATCAATTCGTTACGACGGTTAGCTGGTCCCTTCGTCCATCTCCGCGTGAAACACACGCTGCGTGCACAAATCACGATGAAAGCTAACGAATGTTAACCAGTGTTTCTTTTTTGTGTCACAACAATTTGAAATCGCACAAAATAAATAATAATTCTCCCCCGCAAATGTATTAGAAAAATTACAAAGTGATTATACGTTTAAAGTGAATTTGTGAACTCGTTGTTGCGAATTATGCTAATACGACCGAGACTTGTCATAAATAAAGCGCAATGAGTGTGTGTAGCAATGAGTAAAACTCGATCATGGGATATTCCCATGAAACTATTACGACTGCGCGTTTCAATCGCCGTAATATAAAGGAAGATGAATTTTGCATTGCCAGGTATACAAGAACAACGAGCTGTTCTACTACATCGACGGTTATGACGTCCAGAAATCGAATTGGATGCGTTACGTGAATCCCGCCTACTCGTCCGAATCGCAAAACCTAATAGCATGTCAGTATAAGGTAAGCAATTTTGCGGAGTGCATCTCGCTAGGGAACTGTATTTCAAACCGCACATCACGGATTGTATAAGCTCACAATCGTTACACGCGTGTGTTTCAGATGAACATTTATTTTTACACGATCAAGCCGATACTACCGAATCAAGAGTTATTGGTTTGGTACTGCAGAGAGTTCGCGGAAAGGCTCAATTATCCGCTCACTGGTGAACTAATGCTTCAGAGAATACGTAAGTTGATATTCATTTTTGAAGTAATTACAACATTATATATTCTTTCTTTGTTTTTACTTAATATGCATAAAAATTTACCGTAAAATAATTTTAGGACAACAAGTTCAACAATCGGCGATACCAACAGAAATCCCACCCACCGTCGACATAGTGACACCTCTGAAAGACTCGTCGATCTACGAAAGGCGCCAGATGACGCCGACGGACGGATCCGTGAGGTCGGACGAGGGTTATCACTCGAACGGTTACCACGACGAGATATTGACGCCGCCCGAGGAAAGCAGCGAGTCCGACAGCGAAAACAACTACGTGTTGGATTTCAGCAAAAATGCCAAGTCGTCGGTGTGCAACGACGAGATCTTGAAGCAAGACAATTCTGTGGCTAAGAACGAGTACAGAAAGGTCAAGATTAAGATCTCCAAGACTTACGGCAATTTTCAGACGACGAAGAGCATACCCGACGGTCCGACGAAGGACAAGGATCAGGAGCTGTCCAACGGAACGGTCACTCCGGAACTACAAAAGCCGGTATCACCCATAATTCTGCAGAAGAGCACGGTGCTGTCGACCGGAAACGAGGATGAGATATCCGAGAAGAATCAGAAACCGTTCTACGAACCGGAGGTCAAGGGTGGCACCGTGCCAATGTCCGGCAGATCCGCCTACTTGACCAACCCTAGTAGTTCTATTCTAGAAAATATTCTGCTACGCAGTAGCACGGATAACAATAATAACAGCCACAGTCACCATCATCACAACGGTGGGTCGCAACAGCATCATCAACATCACCAAATGCATCATCAGACCCACGTGGATTCTGTGACACCGCCACCTTCAAGCCCCACCGAAATGGCGTACTCCTATAAAAAATCGCATCGTTATGGCAACATTCTACCCTGCAGCCCGGACTCTAGTTCGAACCTGCCCCTGCAGACGGACTCGTGCGTGAACTCGACCAGCGGTAACGCGCTACCCAGTATGCAAAGTCCCACCGGCAATTTGCACTCCAGCACAGGAGGAGGATTGCACTCGAGTACCGGAGCGAGCAGCGGCAGCTTGCCGCCGCATCCCGGTAGTATACACTCGTCCAGCAACGCCGCGAGCGCTATTCATTCCAACACGAGCATGCTGTCGTCCAGCACGATACTGACGTCCACCAGCAATCCGCACCCAGCGTCCACGACGGTGAACGGTTGTCCGCTCAAGCGAAAGACCAAGTCGCCGTCGCCGTCGTCAGGTCACAACAGCGTCTCCACTCCGACGACGATTCTCTACTCCGGCAACTCGGCGGGCACTGGCTGCCAGATCGAGTCTGCCAGTCCGGTCTATCCAAACGGCGGCAGCAGTAGCAGCAGCAGTAGCAGTAGCGCTAGTAGTAATCAGAGCGTTTCACCGATCTCGCCAATCCAGTCCCCCTCGTCCTACAGTCCGTACGGCAATCTGTATGCTCATCAAAACGGCTCGTTGCACCACAACGTGGGCGCGCCGTTGTCCATCAATTGCAACGCTTACTCGCCCACGCCGAGCGGTAACGTCGTCTACGAGAGATCCGCGGACAACAGGCGACTAGAGGCTGCCACCAGCAGTGGCCATCAATTGCCCACCTCGTCGACCATGCAAATGGACGGCAACCAAGCGCTGATCGCCGGCACGCACAATCTTCACCTAAGTCATCATCCAGGTCTCACCATTCACCCTAACTCCTCATCGTCCCTCAACAGATACTCGCCAGCGAGCTCCCTGTCGCCGGACGATCACGGCTGCTCCCAGAGTGGTTCCCTCAGTCCCAATTCCCAGGGCTCGAGGGGCTACAGGTCGCTGCCTTACCCGCTCAAAAAGAAGGACGGCAAGATGCATTATGAGTGTAACGTCTGCTGCAAGACTTTCGGTCAGTTGTCGAATCTTAAAGTGCATCTCAGAACACATTCCGGCGAAAGGCCTTTTAAGTGCAATGTCTGCACCAAGAGCTTCACCCAGCTCGCGCATCTTCAAAAGCATCATCTCGTACATACTGGTATGCATATGAATTTGTTTTATATTCTACGAAATAATATAATACTAGATTTAACTTGCAATAAGATAAATAAATTGTTAAGTTCAATAAAATCTATATACGTTTTTTTAATTAGAATTCTACTAATATGGCAGCCATCTCGCGATTTTACATTTGCATACACAAGCAAGCTGTCGTTACAATAAAATAATAAATATCATTAATATGCTTGATTGTAGGTGAAAAGCCACATCAATGTGAGATTTGCAAAAAGAGGTTCAGCTCGACCTCGAATCTAAAGACTCACCTCAGACTGCACTCCGGCCAAAAGCCGTACGCCTGCGATCTCTGTCCCGCCAAGTTTACACAGTTTGTTCACTTGAAACTACATAAGAGGCTGCACACGAACGAACGACCGTACACCTGTCAAGGTTGCGACAAGAAGTACATTAGCGCGAGCGGTCTCCGAACTCATTGGAAAACAACGAGCTGCAGGCCGAATAACATCGAGGATGAACTTGCGCTCGCAGCTGTGGGTTCGCCGACGTATTACGAGTTCGGTCCTGACATGAATGTTGGTAAGCGACTATTGATAAACGCAGAAAGTCAAAAACAGCTATATAATATCTATACAAGATTATAAATCTGTCAGAATAAATAATTCAAATCGACTATGAAATTGACAAAACACTTGGGACTTCAATTTCTCTTCTCAAAATTATTTCTTCAAAAAAAAAAAAAACAAAAAACAACTTAAAATACAGATGAGAAACAATAAGTGACACGTTTTCAGGAAACATGCCGAAGGAATGCGAGCTGGAACACATCGATAATTACGACAGGCACGGATCGGCGCATGGTCCGCACTCTACGTCCCTCCATAATCTGGAAAATTCCGTAGGTCGGCCAAGCGTTATAGAAACGTCTCAGCCACACATTATCGAGTGTACATAAGCCGCATGATATCAATCCTCTTTTCATTTCGGCGCGAAATGCAGCCGTGGAAATGCAAACGACTTATACTTGAGACAGAATAAACAGAACGAGAAAACGTCTCTCTTCTCTGGGAAATGGTAGCAAGGTGAAAAAAAAAAAAACAGAACTTTCACGCATTACAAGAGAAATGTGTTCGCAAAATCTCTTTTTCGATTTCTTAGCGGTCACTTCGAACTTTGTTGTTTCAGTATCGAGGCGACACAAGAAAAATGGATTTTTTCGAGGGTGGGTTTACGAGGTTCTGTATAAGAGACGCATAAAGTTCCTCTTCCTTGTATATAATCATTTCTATATTTTTTCTATAGTAGCGTTATATATCGACAAAAGAGATAGTGTTATATAATATCGGTAGTGGTAATTAAACTTAATTAATATACGATGAAGGTTGTACAGCTACTATTCCGAGAGAAGAGTCGGAAAATCGCATAAACAATCGTACCAAAGTCGCTAGTTTTTCGATTACATTTCCACGATGCATCTTAGAAGAAACACACACACACACACCGAAGACGCATCGTGACTATGCAACGAATTCCTAACGACTTGCATATGTTCACTCCGAAATAATCTCAGCTGAGTTCACACAATGGCGCGATCTTGTAAAAATTGTCCGCATCTTTTTTACATAAAGTTATGATAATTTTATACACTTTGTTTTTTGAGAAAAACAAAATAAAATCGTTAAATTTATGCAAAAAGTTCATGCAAAAATTATACACGTTATGAAGAAACTGCATTTCAACCAACTTTACAAAACTCTCATCTATACAGACCGCAAGGTTCATTTAAAAAATCCAAAACTGACTTTTTATCGTTACAGATTGTTAGTAGTTTTTCGGAAACTATGTCACGACGCGATCTTCGACGTGAGCTTAAGGCTTAGGTTGGCGCGTAAAATGGCGGATTTTGTCGGCACCCGCCATGGTGTTCGAGTACCAATATTGAAAGAATAGGGGAGACCCGAACAACAAACAGTGACGACATGACTGCAACTATACGAGACCTGTACCTGTATATATTAATACTATTATTAATTATTCAATAATTTAAAAAAAATTAATATAAGGAACTCTAATTTATGAACACCTTTATATATATACAAATAATTATATATACATCTATGTATATAAAAATCAGCGTGTGCGCACATGTATATGCGGGTATGTGTGTGCACTTGCGATATACGCACGTACATACATGTGAACACACTGTCGATTAGCGGACGGTAGGCTGCGCTTTTTACACATCTCTTTAGAATATATTAAAGTGTTTTTTTTTTTAAATAATATATATTTATATTTATTTTATTATGAATAATTTATTGGCGTGTGCGTGAAAAGAACCCAGTGAGATTATTGACAATTTTCATCTCTTTCTTTTGCTTACTTGCTTTATTAGCTTTAGTGTATAGAGAGCGATATATTTGTTTCGTAAAAAAGGGAAGATTTGTTTCTTAATGAACGAGTCAATGCTCCGCCCTCTGTATTTTATTACGTACTCGTGTAAGTCTTCATATACTTTGATACCGATGTTTCACGAACATTTCATCAAGGTGAGTAGCCTGATATTGATTTATTACATAACGTTTAAATTAAAGAGAGATATATATATGTTATGTTATTTTATATTGTGTTAAATAATTTGAAATTTTGTCAGAAACCTATTTATAACGAAACATGTTATCATTGGATTTAATTAATTGCAGAATGTAAAGCTATAAAAAGTAATGATATTTAAGTTTTTGCACCGCAATAATTTTAATCACACGCGTTGTACATTTCCGTTAATTTTTACTTTCTCATTTCTTGGTCGAAATATGTGTAATAGTAATATTATTGGTCTTCAATTAGGTCTTAGTACCTGAGTGTCTTTTTACTCTCAGTACTTTAAATCGGTCCTCTCTTCATAAATTTAACATTTTACAACTTGAACAAAACGCACACATTTCGTAAAACTGAACTGCGTAAAAATTTTTCTCTCTATGTGCTTCGAAAAAAAGCTTCATCCGTACTTGTATATTTAATCAAAAATTTAAACAAAACAGATTAAGGAAACATAAGTTGTAAGAAAATCTAGTCAAAACGGAAGAAATTATAGTGCAATTTATATAGCGTCTCTCTTTTCTGTCTTAAAAAAGAGAAAAGATATATATATTTTTTGAAATCGTATCAAGATTCGGCAACAATTATTTATCTATAAGAATTTTATTTTTATGTATGAATGGATTAAAAGCGCTTAAAAAAAGAAAAAAAAACAATAAATAAATAAATATACTCGATTTCTCTCGATACGTCGTGCTTCCTGTACGCGTAACGCGGAAAGTGAAAAAGCTAAGGAATTAATCCGTCAAAAGTTTGCTACTGCCTTTCTTTCTCTCGCATTTCTTCTTCCATTAATTTTTATGCGAATTTGTACTTCCATTAATGCTAAGATAGATCAAACAAATCAATCCCGAGCGCAGCTTACCATACGCCATAAGCGATGCGAGACACAAATCATCCTTGCGGAACGACGATTCCGAAACTTCGTTTATCGTCGCGTCAAAAGACAGAGACAACACACGTTTTTAAAACAAAGGGTAAAAATTTTTAAGCGCGAGATACAAGTTCCCGAATTGTTGTTCCGTAACGATACCGATCTACAGGACGTATCGCAGACTGATAAACCCACGGCTATTCGAGCGTCTGTGAGATTCTAAAAAAAAAAAAAAAAAAATAAAAAAAAAAAGCCACGTGCATCGCGATACGATTCTGCGAGCGAGAGAGCGAGAGTGATCGAGTGAGCGATTTTCTGAAAACGCAGGAGTGTGAGTGTGGAGTGTTAGGGAATGCGTTAAGTATATTGTTCTAATTTTCGGCTTCCTTTGCAAGAGAGACCCTTGGAGACTTCGGTTTCGCTAGAATCTTGCGTCGCGCTCGACGTCACGCAACTTTATATCCCCAAAGAAATCTTCTCTTTATAATAGTTGAATCCTTCATCTCATGAGACACGTGACACACGCAAACGGCATATTAGAGTCTTTTCTTCATACTGAGAAACTATGCAGCGCTTGCGCGAAAGATTTTAACGAAATCGAGGATTCCTCTTATATCCCCTGCATTGTCCTTCCTTCCCTTCGAGAATACCCATCATACTATTCAACCACCTGCCCACAGGACACTGTCGAAACATATTCAAACGAAGAGATTCTCCTCGACTGTCCCGGCAATCATTCCGCAATAAGTTTAGAACGTGCGTTCGAGAACTCGATCCGTGAGACGAGTACGCGAGACGACGTAATGTAGATTTCGCAGGGCCTTTACACACTTTTTTCTTTTTTTTGTCTTATTTGCTAATGTAATCTTGAAATAACAATCAGGCAATGTGAACGACTCGCGGGCATTCTACGGGATGCCGAGTGTAAAGAGTTTCTGTGGTAAAGGTGCTACAATGTGTGCGCAAAAACGTACGTTGTATTACATCGGCAACTGTTCGATGGAAACGCACGCGGAGTACGTTGTCGCGTAATTTGTAATATTTTAAAAATACCTCGAAATCAATGAAAACGCAATTAATTCGGCATCCGTACGAGCGTACGAGGATTCCGCGTTGCACGCCGTGAAGAACGACAGTGGGGAACACGAAAAATAAGAAATGAGAAGCAAAACAAAAAAACAAAAAAACAAAAAAAAACAAAAAAAAAACAAAAAAAAAAACGAAAAAAAACGAAAAAAAAAAACAAAAAAAGAAAAACATCGAGAGACTTGTGCAATAATATATCGCGTTACAGCAATAATAAAAAAATCTTTCGGCAACGATCACAGTCTCCAGTGTGGCGTTCTCCACGAATATCATTCCGTACACTTGCCTCGATTCCCTGCCTTGCCTGTATTTTGAGAGAGCACTACTTACGAATAAGGAAGTAAAACCGGAGCTAGAGGAGAAGCTTAGACCGCGTGTTAAGAAAAGACAGAGAGACAAAGAGAGCTTCGAATCGCGCGATACGTAACGGAGAAACAGCACACGGCGCGCAGAAAGACAGACGGTATGACAAGACCATGTAAATACAAAAATACGCTGAAAGTAGTGAAATGTCGAAGAGAGGAGGCGGCGAAAAACGAGGACGGCTAAACCGCCTCGAGAACAAGACAAGCAATATTTAGTTCTTATCATCTCGTAATAATTAAACGATAACGATTCAAACTGTACCGTGCACGTGTGCACGCGCTCGTATTTAAACGACTATAAATTAAATGTTAATTATCCTTACACTTCGTACATATATATATATACATATATATATATATATATAGTGAAATTGTTACGCATTTATTATCATTACAATTATTGAATAGGTAATGCTCAATTAGCATTTGTTTCTTAAAAATAAAAAATAAATATATGGCTGTTGGATATTTATATGCACATATCTCTAACACACCTCTACAACACATTTGTTTACGACCTAATATTTCACACGCTCGGACCACAAAGGAAACTTCAAGAAAAACCAAGAAAAACGCGCTCCCGATTTCGGCAATCGCACGTGCGAGCGGAGAAGAAAAGGACGGATCGGAGTGTGAACTGGACAACGAAAATTGGATCTGGGACCACAAGACGACTGGTGTTTCACATTTTATTGTAAATGCGCTACAGTTACCATATCTTGATTCACCAATGTTTACATCATCATTATAAATAATAAAATGCCAACGTTGTCTCTTATAATAGATGTCCATATACAGATATACACAGATGTATTTGTCTAATACATCATGCATTATGTTTCAAGAGCGATTTGCTTCAAGATCTGGTCAAAAGTCTTCTCAAAAGTTTTTTTTGTTTTCTCATAACACATAAAATAAGAATGATTAATGTACAATTTGAGGCTCACTAGTTTCTCCCTTCCGAGTCTCCCGTAAAAAATCACGCTTTTCACTTGTCAGGCAAAGTGATCGCATAAACCTGGGTGCTTTTATCAAAAAGATAAAACAGGAGAAATCTATCTAAATCATGATGTATAAATTGTACAGTTGCACGATCTCCTTCAGACGGAGATGCTAATACCTTCTTTTGTGATGAAGAGAATAATATACATACCTATATTTATAATTAGAAAAATAATACAATTTCACTGTATCAATGGAAATAATTAAACTATGCGTAATGTGCGTCGTATGAACGTCATTAGCAATTTGAGGCGTAAATATGAGGCAAACATGTTGTCACAGCTAATAGAGTCTCTGGAAACATGAATCAAAATTGTTTCTGCGCCGCCCATACAAATTTATTCGTTTAGTTCCACTGAAGCTGTCCGTCCGCAAACGACGGTAGAAAACAAGACTTACCTTATCAAGGTAAGGGACTGTCTGTTCCGCTCCCACTGTTGGTCCCAGCTTCCGTTTTAGTAGCGGTCACCCGGTCAGCTCGTTTGGATGTTTTTGATAACGACGCTATTTCCTTCAGTAAAGTGCTTATCTTGTGCTGCATTGTAGTGATTTTTGCCTCATATTCTTTTTCCGACGCTTTCATCTTATTACGTAGTTCTGTTTCGGAAGTAAAATTCTTTGCCTTCAGTTCGGTTATCTGCAATCCAAAATGTTATCTGTCTTCTTTCTCAATTCATCTATATTCTGATAAAAAGCGTTTGAACTCTTATACGCACTTGCTTGTCTTTTGCCAGTAACTGATTATCCTTTTGCGTAATCAGTTTTTGGAGATGTGCTATTTTTTCTTTAAGTTGAGTCACCGCTACCACATGATCCGAGCTATTTGGATCATGGGGGTCGTGTACACCAGCCATGCGCGCTGCTTTTGCTGGAGTGGGACCGTTTGTGTCGCCACTCTCTGATTGCGGCGGCAATTTTGTCACGTCGACTCTATGCGGTCTTTTATTATGACCTTTTAATCTGCAACGGAAAAAATAGAGGCTAAAATTTTGCCGAAGCGTACATGTTTAACAAATGGTCTCGCGTAATCTCATACGCTACAATTGAGACTTATGTACGAATATTAAGGCAATTAGCGCAAAATTATCTTGTGAAGATAATTACATTGGGATAATTACTTTTGTTCTTTGTGCTTCGCTGCCCGTTGCTGAGCCAGTTTTAGATGTGCTCTTCTTTCTGCATCTGATTGTTTAGTCTTTGCCAACGCTCGTTTATACGACAGTGTACAGAGCCAACATAATAACTTGCCGTCTACCTAAAAATCCAAATATCGCAGTAAAGAATTTAGTAGCATTGTATAATAAAATATATTTATTACCATGTACCAATAACAGAGAGAAAGAAAGAGAGAGAGAAAGAGAAAAAGGTTTTAACCGTAGAAACCTACACTTCAGCTTTTTTGTTCTCTAAAAAAAAAGAAAAGATATTGACAGAAAGTCAAATGTATGAAAACCTTAGTATAGCAGAATAATTTTCTAGCAGCTATTCTCTATCATATATAAAAAATATATATAGAAGAAAAAAATATTATTTTTATAATTTTTGTGCACAACACAATACAAACTTTATATGTGTATATATATATACACATATATATATATATACACATATAAAGTTTGTTATTAAATTATTTTTTATGTGCACATATAGATAGCTTCTATCGCGATATTGAGAATTACAATGTATATTACCTTTTTATCCTCATCTTGTCTATCAAAGGCACACTTTTGCTTGCACTGTTCACATGTAACCGGTGGTCCATAACGTTTCTCTGAATTTGTACACCGTTGGCATTTGCTACCGATAAACGCGGCGATGGTATTGCAATATTCGCAAGCTGATGGCTTCCCATATGACTTAACATTTTGCTCACATTTTTTACATATGGTGCTAGTGTTACCTTTCCTATGAATTTGAACAAGTTAGAATAACACAAATACATTTCCTCTATTTTATAATTACTTTTTTTGGCAAACAAAATGATTTGCTTATACTTACACTGTTTGTTGGAATTCGGATCTGCAATATGTGCATTTTACAACTGGGTAAGCTCCTCGACATTCCTATGTAAACATTTATACACATCACTTATTAGTTTTTCTTTTTAATTTGCCACGAAAAGATAAAATGTTGTTTTTTATTTTGACGCTTCAATAATTTAATTTCACTCATTCTTTTTTACTGAAATAACATGTATATTTCATCTTATGATATATAGTACAAATTTTAAAACATATGTACAAATATATATGAGAGAGATATAACTTGTAACAATTCAATATCATGAATCGCTTCTATCTCATAAAAATCTTCCTTGAAGCAGAAAAACTATAATCTTTTAGTATACCTACGTCATTCAGATAAGGTTTCGAGATAATGGCCTGAAAGTACGTATGTAATTCTAAAACAATTTTCACAAATCTCAAAAGGAAAGAGGGAATAGAAGGAAATATTTACTTACATGGAATAAAAATATTGCTTGAAGAATGTTTTGGTCAAACATTTATGAAACATTTATGAAACTTACGACAATATATATACGATTCACTTTTTTATTTGTAAACTTAATCTTATTGTACGTAACTAACCTAACCTAACCTAACTTACAAAGCAAGTTAGGTTAGCAACACCATATATGTTATATACATATATACATATATATATATATAATATATATATATAACATTAGTCATCTAGATATGATGTGTCAATTTGTATCAAAATATCGCATTCAAACATGTCTTTTTCTTTTTACAAGTCATTACTGCTATTATTTGATACGAACGAACAATGACTAATTTCTTGCAAAGCTCATTGTTCTAAACGCATATTGTATTATGACGTAAAAAAAAAAAATTTGTTATCGGAGTGACGTTGTAAACTTAAGAGATTGCGCCGAGGCTGTGAACGTGCAAATACACAAATCGTAACTCTTCCGGTTTTATTTCGCAGATTCCTTTTTAAGAAAATTAGTGATCTCTTCCACGTAAATGATAAAGCATAAATCACGCGCGTCGCAAAATCGCGGAACAACGCGAGTTCGCGCGACTTGTACGCCGACGAACGAGGCTCGTTAACTTACCTTGCACAACTGTTGCCCCGGCGAAAGATCCTCAAAGGGATGTCGGGAGAAACATCTAGAACACGCGAAGAGGAATCCGTTGTTCGTGCTCATCGTCGATGACCGTTTCTCCACGTCCGGCGGTTACTGGGCGACGAGACAACGGGCGGCAGATGCGGAAGGAGGCGGCGATATTCGACTCGCGTGCAGCTGTTCCACAACGAAAAAAATAAAAAAAAAAAAAATAAAACACACAGAAATCAACGACAGCAATGAGGTAGCGCGACTACTCCGATCGTAACTTCCACCTTTCCCGTCGGAAACCGGTTGTTGACTTTTACACAGCCATCTGTGACCGATGCGGGAGAGCAACATGGCCGATCATAACAGCCGACGTCAATGGCCGCTCGAGGACGCCACTGACCGCGTGGCTTACGCTCGGGATTGGTGGACGATCTCGACGCATTTTGAACATCACAGAATACATATAAAAAGATACGCAATCCGCATTTATATACACATTTCGACATGCGTATCGATAAGAATCTCATGTACAAAATACAAAAAAAAAAAAAAAAAAACAACAACTAATCCCCGCAATAAATTACTGCAGTGCTACTTGGTTCTTGTATTAAAGGCATGATTGATGCGAAGAAAAAAAAATGAGAAACACATGAAAAATAAAATAATGTGAGATCTTTCTCCTTTCCTCGTTTACAAAAGTGTCAGACACTATTTCACATTTCACACGTGTTTTTCAAGAAAATCACTTGCGCGAAATAAATAAATCGTTGATAAAAATGAGATTGTAAAAACATAATTTTGTGTTTGTTCGATATTATTCCGATTTTGTGAAATACGCAATCTTCAAGATGCAATAGAATACGAACCGACTTTGTCTGCGACGTAGCTTTAAAATTGATTCTTCCATAGATTACGATCTTACGCGTAAACAACCACACGGGGAAGAGAGATCAAACGATCGAACTTTGAAATTTTTCACTAATAACAATTGATCACGCTTGTGTTATCTCGGGCGCGGTGCGAGCGGCGCTCGTGGATTCGTCGGTCGGTAATTTGTCGCGACACGCACGGACACTACACATCAAAATCCCCGTCTGATAAAACGATATGAGAGACTTACCTACGGCTGCGCATCCTCGATAAACTGCCGCCTATCTCTTCGGTGGCAGCCCCACACGATCGCCTCGGCCAGCTAATGGAATCTTCACGTTCCGGAACTCGTTACGTGGTACTGTCGCGGCGTGCTTTTGTCCAGCGTTATCGCGGGGAGGCGACACCGGGAAGTCGTCGCGCGTGGTCTGCGATCTCACGAAGACGACGCTTCCAGCGAAAATGACGTCCCGTCACGAGAAGGAGCGTGCCAAGCAGATACAGGAAAAATGTCAGAATCTGCTGACGCAGATGCTTCGCGATGAGGACAACAAGTATTGCGTGGATTGCGACGCGAAAGGTTTGTCTTTTTCGCAGCAGGCAAACACCAATTCCTGCCCGCGGTTGCTCTACACCTACTTTTTACTCGGTCGTTGTGTCGCGAATGTTTGACATTGTCCGAGTGATTCGTTCTCATGAGGACACAAGATTGGCTTATCGATATCGATCAACGAAACGACCCAATTCTACAACGCGCCGAAGGCGTTGTAGATGTTTAATTTTTACGTGCTGTCAACGCGCTGTCACTTGATTGGCGTGCGATCTCGTCGAGGTTTTGCGCAATGTCGCGCTCGCCTCGATTTTTTGACTCGAAAATCGGCAGTCGCTCATACCCTTCGCTATTCGGTCTCGAATCAGTGAAATAGAATGCAGTTGTTTTTTTGTAGAAGAGTTATCTGCGTGTAAAAGCTTATGATTAATAGTCGTGAATACTAATCGAGAAATAAATAACTCAATTGGATAGCGAACAAATACTTCTATTTATTCGTTGTTTATCTAATTTGCATTCAGTTTTCAAACAGGCTGTACAGACACAGATTAGAGATAACAATTATTTACAATGATTTGGATGAATTTATTTTCAGGACCAAGATGGGCTAGCTGGAATTTGGGAATTTTCTTGTGTATTCGGTGCGCTGGTATACACAGAAATCTTGGAGTGCATATAAGTAAAGTCAAGTCTGTTAACTTGGACACATGGACACCGGAACAAGTAGTGGTATGAAGTAAATGTGTATATACACATTTGTTTTTTTTTCTCATTTATTGAAGTTTTACAACAGTTTTTGATTTTTCAATGTTTTTTAGTATGCATATGTGTATTATATATCTTTAAAATGAGATAACTTTTTAAATTACTTTTTAATTACATTCTCAAATGTTTAGAGCTTACAACAAATGGGAAATTCTCGAGCCAGAGCTGTGTATGAAGCAAATCTTCCAGATAGTTTTCGAAGACCTCAAACAGATTGTAGTCTTGAAAGTTTTATTCGAGCAAAATATGAACACAAAAAGTACATAGCCAGAGAATGGGTACCACTTCCTTTACCAAAAGTATGTTTATTGTAATCTAGATATGGAAAAGTAACACAAAAATACATGTAAATTTGATATTTGAAGCAATGAATTATTATATGTGTTATAGGTAAATTGGGACAAAGAACTCGATGAAGAGGCTGAGAGGCAACGTAGACGAAAAAAGGAAAGTTCTGAATCTGCAACTACTGTACTCCCACCAGTAAAAAAACCAGAAGTAGTGCCTCAATTGCCAAAACCACGAAGTTCCGTCAGTCCTAAACTGGCTAGAACAAAAGACTCTTCGGCAATTCACGATCTGTTAGGTCTTGGTATGTTACCTCATTTTGCATATGAATCGCAATATAATAGCTTCTTTATGGCATCATTATTATTGTCATTAATAGACGCTCCAGCGACTAATCAAACAAGTGTAAATGGTTCCGGAGACGATGTATTTTCTTCCTTTCTGTCTGCTCCACCTGCTTCAACAATTCCATCTGGAAATGAAACTTCTAATGGAAATAAAACAACTACCACAACAACTATAAGTAAAAGCGAAGAGGAGAGTTTCTTTGACCAACCCACTCCGCTACCTCAGGAAAAAAGCAAAATGACGAAAGACAGTATTCTAGCATTGTATGGTAATTCAAGTTATCAACCGCAAATGTATGGAGTCCCAGGTAACATATATAAAACTAGATTTCGTATTATTGAGTTATGCAACTCGATTGCTATTTTATTTTTGTCTTGTTTCAGGAGGGGTGTATCCTCAGCAATCTGTGCCGTACAAGCAGCAAATGCCAAATGTAGGTGCATTTGGACAACAAAGTTCCTTGGGTCAGCTCGGCCAACTTCCCACACAAATACCGATTACAAATCAGATACTCGTCAATCAAAATCAAATTTTGGCAAATCCTAGTTCGATAGGTGCTGTAACAGCTAATCCTTTAGGCTTACATATAGGACAAATGAATGGCGTACCAAATGCTGGTATCACAGTGCCGCCTCAAATGGTATCTATATTAAGTTTCTTTTCAATTGTTTTTTTTTTTTTTTTTTTTTTGTAAATTATCAAAAATTTTATTTTTTTGTTCTGATTTTTATTAAGTGTTGTCGCAGTTAGGACAAAGTAATATTGCTAGCAATAAC